ATTCTGGTTATGTATTACTGCAGGTGCTGGGCTGGACTGTGTCCCCATGTGAGGTTCGGTGGATTTGATCTTGGTAAGAGCGTGAACTGCATCATTTTCAGATCCTAGTGTTCTATCGGTGTGGCCCTCTGGAACCCACTGGTAGGCCACATGGAACAATACGCAACAAAGCAAAGTTGGGAAACTGTTAAGTCTGAGTGAACCACATAGACAGTTGCAGATACATGTATATATGTGCATGGCCTATAATTGGACATTTGCCCACCTCTGCCATATTAGTCAGCACACAAACAGTCCTGACACTGCTCAAAATTGAAAGTACTACATGAGTTAAAGTTGTCGGAGCAGTTTTTGTGTGTCCAATTTCTACTGTGACAAGATTGTTAAATAGTGCAAGAATTTGAGCCTATCGCAATACAGTTTAGAAAGTTGAAGATGGCTCTCGGCCAATTTGTCCAATTGGCATGGATTGTACAGGAAACGCTAATGGCTCGTTCTCATTTCCTGGATAGCTGGCTATACGAATGACGAATGACATCTAACCTGTGGGATCTATGGACTCTGCATGTCTCTTCTGGCAAGCAAAGGGCTTTTGATGGTTTCTTTCAAAGTGCAAAAACCGTGAAACACCATGGGTCCTCTGTGGTGATAGGGAACGTGTTGTGTGAAGTACCTGGATATCAGGAAGACAGTGCCCGGTGAGTGCTTGTGTAGTTGAAGGGGAGAACAGAGAGGTGAACAGATATGGTTAGGGCACCGGATAAGTCATCCATTTGTGTGGTCTTGTGATGTCACATGCAACTCACAATCTGCTAAGTGTGTTAAAACCCTAACCCTGCTAAATGCCACAGAATGCACCAGTAGTAAAAAGTTGTTGCAAGTTGTTGCATTTAGCAGTGTCCTGATCTGCATGCATTCCATGTCTGCATTCTGTTGCATTTGGCAGGGTAGGTACTTGGTACCAAGGTTGGCACTGCATTCTGTTGCATTTGGCAGGGTACCTAGAGAATACCCCATGGGGGTTAGGGTTGTTAACTTAATGGCATGGATATGTTGTGTGCTACGCGTCAGTGTGAAATGCATAGTAGTTGATTTTCGCCCTCTTCTGTGTTAATTTATTTAAGCATGTATGATTTACTTGAAGAGAAAGAATTGCTGAACATGTACATGTATGCTCCAGTTGTCTGTGTTTCAAAAGAGGATTTGCAGCGTTCATGAGGCTTTCATCCCAGGCTGCCATGTTGGGTTACTACATTTATTGGTAACAGTTGCGAAACAAGGAGTGTCAGTAATGGTTACAGACAACTAAACGTTTGTGTACACGTATCCATTTGGATACAAAACCTCTGTAAAGACTCTTTGGGATTTTTTTTTTTTTAATGAATTTTTTTCTTAACAATATACTTGTACATGTAATACAATGCAACTAACAAAAACAACTTCTACTTGACTTTGTGGATACAAGAATTTCGGAATGCGTGCACTGAAAGTGAATTGAAAAAAAAAAATCAAAAAAATCAGATTTAAAAAAAGAAAAAAATGGGAAAATTGGCTGGAAAAAACCCTCCTCTGCAGAACTATTTTCCAGTGGAGGTAACACGTTTTCTGGAAAGTTTAAAGGCTGTCTAAATTTATCTTTAAATAGGTCCTGCACTCTGTTACTTGTGCAAACATGTTTTTACGGTGATCAGTTGACAAATGCTACCCTTGTTGATTCGGTCTCGCTTGAGAAGCACTTGGGCTTCAATTTGGAGGAAGCATGGCAATTACACTCAATCTGACACTCACTTTCAACAATGTTTAGCTTCGTGTCAGGGCAAAACCTATTTGTAGCTGCGATCACTGAACTAACAAAGTTACTTTCAGTCATCCCAAGACCTTTCTTGGTGCACCACTATCTGTTCGTAACTACGACCCCTATTAGAGGAAATGCAGATGTACCTTTTCAAAGGAAGAACCAAGCTACCGGTAGTTGCTGCCAATAGGGATGTGCATCATCCTCAATCAAAATCAGATGTGAAGATGAAGTACATGTACCTAATACCAAAGATGCTGATACTCAGTATAGTTCAATTTTATAAAACAAATTAAGAAAAAACTTACAAAGATAGATATTGTTCAGGCAAAAAGAGAGAGGGGAGGGGTTAGCTTGAAAATTTGGCAGTTGAATATTTTTGAGTTTGGTCAGTAACCAAAACAATATCAATACTTTATTTGTTTTCTTATTTTCTTTTTTCAGTTATGCATTTAAAGTAGAAAATTGTATAGTAACTATGTTCATAATTTTCCCTATTGACCCTTTTTGGATGGGTTCCGTGCATAAGTACCCTCTCCAAAGTAAGAAAGGGAGAGTTGGGGGTGACCACTGGGAGAGACAAATGATTGCCGACAGCGCCTGATGCTCACACAAAGACGCTATGGCTTTGTGCACATTCAGAATGAAATTAGTCGTGCGTACTTACCACTATACGCGAGCAAACCGGTACGGGCATGCGGTGTGTTCCGTCCACGGGGCTCTCAAAAGTGTTAAAATAGCGCCTTGTCTTGTATGCAAATGGAGCCCATACCCATTAAAGGTATGTTTTTTGCACTGTCGGACTGGATAGTAATTGTACTATTTCACAGCACAAATTGTGCCACATCGCAACACATGATACGCCTTCTCTGCACACTGCAGGTCTATCCAAAGTCTAGGTATAGAGAAGTACCACAAAGTAGCCTTAATTAACCCTAGTCTGAAGAAAAAAAGTTATTTAAAGTACTGAGCAGTAGGATTCCAATTGACCCAGTAATTTCAGCTGCAGATAGTCATAATTTTCAGAGCCCCCTTCTCAACACAAATTATTAAAAATTTTGCTGACACACTGGATGTGAAGCATGATGTGCTCTGACCAGAAAATAGTGAATTTGGGGCCTGAAGATAATAAAAGACATTATACATGTACCGTAGGTACCATACACCTTGCACCATATCATTTAATTTGAAAGCTTCACCAAAGTCACGCCATTACCAAAATCAAAACAGGAATTTGTAATTATAAACCAAATGGGAATGACACCAGGAATTCCCTCATGTTGAAATTATTCAAATGGAATGAACACAAACACTCATTTGATACAGCAGTGGACATTCCTCCAATTTCCTGAATCTTGCCCGCTGGTGTCAAGTTATAGTTCCAGCCATTCCAGATGTGTAATAGATACGATTGCAGGCCACAGATCAGATCTTATCGCAAGCAGCTGCAACAAGAAAATGCAACCTCTTTCCTTGCAGCATGATTTTGTCCTCCATCCATGCTGACTAGTTATTTTTTCTTTGATGGGCTAATGATAAGTCAATTCAATGTGCTCTGGTGAATCACACGAATTGTAAATCACAAAGTTAATATTTTTAGTATGTGTGGGATAATTTAGAGGTAAAAGTAAGGTAAAGTCTGTCACGAGCCAATGTGGCCCATCAGGCCGGCGTTTATCTCTGGTTTCAGTAGCATGAAATGACTGAGATTATTTCTATTCCCCCTGGACCGGATGCCAATCCATCGCAGCTTACTCCCCAGCTAATGCCGGTACCTATGTATACTCCTGGATGGGGAGAGGCAAGTGGGGTTGAACTTGAAGTGGCTTGCCCAAGGACACAACACATGACCAGCAGCTGGATGCGAACCCCTGACCCTCTGATCATGAGTCACAAACCCTAAATAACCACTAGGCCACACTCCCCACATCATGCTTTACATTGTGGTTGTAGGCTATTGTGCAACTGTCATATCATATTATGGGTTCTGTTGCATGGATCAGACATGGTAAATCATCCTGCCACCCTTCCCTGTACCCTGCTGGGGACAGCAGGCAAGCTACTGTGTTAGTAAACACGGCCATGGACATGTATCAACACAGGTTGTGATGTGTGAAGCAGGTGACACAAGTACTCGGGAGCCAGACTTGTGACTTGTATGTTATAACTCATCAGCCATGATCACAGTGGATTTTTAGAGGGCAAACCAAAATCTCTCATTGTCAATGGTTACTTCACACGTTTTACATGTAAATCCAGTGCAAAGAGCCCTGGAAACTTCACCCTTCGTCACTTTCCTGGAGTCAAATGGTTACTTTTACAGACTTACCTCTGCCCAATAATTCTGCCCAGGGCAATTCCCCTTGACCCAAAGTCAGTACAATAGTGCAAGCCAGTAATTAGGCACGAACAAGCGGTCCATCTGGATCTATAAATACTGCCAGTTTCATTACTTGGTACAATTTTGGTACAAGTTGAATGTGTTTGCAGATGTAAATGCTCCCGCTCCCACAAAAAGTTTAATGTGAACGCAGCCTTATTTTTTTTACAAACATTTAGTATGCTCAGTATGTGACAGTACAGAAAGGAAGACAACTTCTGCTGAATTTTGTCAATCGGCAGGAACAAATGTTTTGTTATTGATGACATTGAATATAATTGGATTGAGCAGGTGTCACACTTTGCTATCTGTTGGACTCACTCACAGATTTGCAGGGGTTTTTTTGGTTTAACACAAAGAACTCAGGGATTTATAGTAGAAAGATAACAGAAATTGGTGACTTCTTACATTAGATTCTGCATGAAGAGAACTAATGAACAGTTTTGTAGTTTAGTCCATTTCATTTGGAAGTTTTGCAGGGAAGATTCAACATTGATTGATTTGAAAGATTAGCATCAATGTGTTCAGGTGTTAGCCAAAATGCTGAGTTTAAAAGTTGCAGCAAAGATTGGAATACAAGTGTAAATGTATCTCGCATAGCAGAAGGAAAAAGTGACGTTGTTTTGATTTTGACTTTTATTTATCGACAGGTATAGCTTCCATGATATTGAAATGCCCTCTTATGTGCAATTATATGTTGGTTCTGTATTTCCTGGTTTGTGTCGGGCAAATCCTGAAGCATGTCATCCGACCACATCCTAAACTTGGACTTATTTTATAAAAATCTCTCTTCCCGTTTGTTCTTTCCACATTCTCGCTTTGCAGGACACACCGACGTTAAAACGCTCCAATTCTGACCCCAATCTAGCAGACAGCGACGACATGTTGAAGCGCAAGCAGATCGCGATGACCTTCCCAGTAAGTACATAACGTGTAGCCTCTGTTTCTTTTGGAAATAGAATCTTTTGGCAAGATTTCAAGAAAGGAAAGGGCGGGGATAGGTGGATAGGAACTGTAAATCTTGTTGCGTGATAATTTGTGAGTGGGTTACACCTCTATGTTCTGACACCCCTATGTTCTGACTGCACATATTCCTAACCCTAACCCTAACCCTAACCCTAACCCTAACTGGGAGTAACACAATATTACATGAATGTGCAGGTTGTCGGAGCATAGGGGTGTTGGAACATAAGGGTGTCGGAACATAGAGCAGTCACCGATGCAGTGTATGGGACACACTGTGTATCTGTACAGATTCCCACATGTTTTGCACAAAGTACGCACAGTGAAATTTCACCTGATATATTGGCTCAAACCAATAGCTTCTTTGCGTAGGCCCCGGCTGCATGGCAGCAGTAATGTTTAATCATGACTATCTCCCATTCCTTGACATTGTTGACAGGGATTATTGTGCGCTGAGTCCATAGCAAGTTCGATTTGGTAATTGGTGATTATGTCCCTGGGCTAGATAGTTTACCACAATTACTTGTACCATGCTTCTCATTGTGGATGTTGGAGACTCTTCTTAAGGCAGTGCTGGTAGGCCAAGTATACAGTCAAGTAAACAGCACTTAAATTGCCAGTTTTTGTTCATGTTAAAAGATTGTTTAAAATTTAAACCACTCTTGCGATTATTTTCTGCGCAGGGTCTCTTCCATCTGAAGAAAGGATGGTTGATCAAACAGGGAGATGGCGAACAGGTGAGAAACCACATCTCTTTTTTCCATCAAGATTTTAAAAGCTCCATTGCAGACTGCAGGCATAAACTGGCATTTACAATGGATAAACCAAATTGTCAACCTTTCTCATTATTCCCATTTCCCCCAGTCTTTCTTCCATAATCCTCGGCAGACATTTTGCACAAAAACGAAGACATCTCTCAAAAGGAGAAACAAATTTCTATAATTGTTACACTCGGGCAAATCTTCAGTGGCCCATTACATGAAACCACTTGCACACTGGGTGGCATGACTCACTTCCATAATTTCTGGTATAATGAAAGTTTGAATGTCATCCTTAGGGGTTTGAGCAGTTATCAGCACCACCCATACATGTTCATGGTTTCCTTGGTTGTCATGGTAACCCAGGAGTATAAAAAAATCTCTTCCCCTAGTCCTGGAGTTACATGGTACCGTAAAAGAGAAATTTTTGTGTTGGAGGTTCCACTCCACTAGATACGCACTCATAGGAAACAACAGAAAATTGGACAGAAAATGCACTGCACGGTGGCACCCACGAGCAAGGCGGTAATCGGTTATTCACAGGAAATTAAAGATTACAACCTCTAGGACAATGTTCTTTTTTCATTTTACCAGAGATAGCGTAATTAATTTGTGTTTATATTCGCCTCCCCCCAAACCACCCCTAACATGGTTCCCAATTTCTGGCCCAGTTCTAAATGTAGGGCCCCCCCCCCCAATTCTATGCTTGATAGATCCAGACGTTGGGGTTTTTGTGAACGAAATCCCCCGAGTTACAAAGCCGCTAATCACAAATGCTTGATCTCCAGAAAGAGTTTTACAATCTGTCCCAAGAATAGGCCGCAAGGACCTCTTATACAAAATTATCTGAGGGATCACAAAAAAATCATGAGCTCGGGGGAAGATTTAGGTGAAATGCACCCTGAAGAGGATGAAGAGTCTGCTGGGTGCCAGGAGACCGGTTATAAGTCAATTAGGTTTGTTTACTGGATACCAGCCAATGTGGCATCTGTTCACCCATTGGCTGTATCTAAATCCGGTACTTTGTGACTTTGCCATTGTCATGCTGCAGTAGACAGCCATAGCCCTAGACAGCAGTGACTTTGTCGGACATGAATGTAGGCGTTTGTTGCCTTCCTTCCATGTCCAATCATTATGTAGGTGATTTCCAACGATCAGTCAATTGACTGATTTTTTACAAATACAGAGTATGGACAAAATCGTGTTTCGTGATCAAAAGGTTGTACATGGTTGTTCACTGTTTTCTCAAAGTGTAATTTCCACTGAGCTGAAACTTCAACAAGTTAGGTTTTGAACATTCTTCTTTGGATTTTGAGTGGGATACTTATTGAAAATGAAACAAATGCATAAAAAGCAAATGATCCTACAAGCTTTGTTGCATTGGGCCCAGTAGGCAACTACACATAACTGATTTTTGCAGTCTTTTACATTTTGTGGTTTGACGTTCAAATCCTGGTGCCTGACCTTTACTGGCCGGATCACAATGATAATGTGACCCATGCATATCCTGACTAAGGAAGCTTGGCACAACCAAAGCATCCTGGTAGATAAAAAAAAGGCTGTCCATTTGACATGTGATCCACTGGGAGTAAAATAAAACAACTTAGTACTTCCACATTGCATGAGGGGTGTCAGAAAACGTGGCTGCTGGTGAGTTTAAAGGTATAGAGTTACTTCTTGTAATATGGTAGTTTTGTTGTTGATAATTTCATTTGTATGCTGTGGAAAGATGTGAGATGGATTGTATTAAGTTAAGTTCTGACTGGTTGGTGAAATATTTGTAGTAGTTACTGTAATTATTTGTACAGCACATTTGTGAGTCATTCTGGCAAAATGAGACAGAACTAAGCAGAGGTTGAAATGAGGGTTTGCAGGTATTAGGAAAGAGAATGAGTATTATGAGATTCTCCTTAGAATACTGTTTGTTGCACTTCAATTGGACACATCTTTGACAAGTTCTGGCTGTTTAAAGTTTGCATTTTATTGACATGTCAAAAAGGTAGAACACTGAGAAAAAGGCCTTTAAATTTTCGAGTTTTATATTTGAATTGAAAGATGCCAATTGTTTTTTCCTTAAAAATACTTACATACTTACATACAAAATACATATCGTGTTTTATACTGTATTTTTAACATACATATCAAACATTACAAATATGAATAAATCTGAAAATTGGGGAAAAAAATCACCCCCATTTAGTTCATCACATTTTCTCCACTACGGCCTGTGCCCAGTTCCGTCTCATTTTGCAACAATGCCTCACATTTTATTGAATTGCTGAATACCAGATCGTTCTCATTGTAAATTACATGGAAGCAATCACACAAAAAATGTATCAACTGTAAAAAGTGAACAAATGTAATGAAAGTTTTTTGAACAGATAATCTCATTGTGAAGATACTATGTTTCTTGCTTTACATGTTCCAGTGAAGTACATGTTCCAGTGAACTGAGAAATTAGGGATGTTCATATTACCACATCTCTCAAAGTATTCTGTTTGTTTTGTTTTGTTTTCTCTCCAGGACTGGAGTAAACATTGGTTTGTGCTGTGTGACAACAAGCTGAGTTACTACAAAGACTCAAGTGACGAAGACGTAAGTTGCACATAGTAGAAATCCACAGAAAATAATATCCCGCCAAAATAAACAAAAACGCTGTTAAAAATGATTGCCATTTCTTAACTAGCTTTTAAGCACCATTATATATCACACAGATCAGATTTGTCAGGATTTTTCCTGATTTCAAGATCTTTTCCAAGATTTTTCCTTATTTCAGTATATTTTTTTAAAATCCCATTTGAAATCTGAAATTCCTTAATTTTTACCCTTTAAGTTTTTTACCTATAAATGTTTTTATAGAACACAAGGAAACAGGAAATTTCAGGGTGCTTTTAGGCAAATACAAACGTGTACCATGGACCTTACACTGCTCTGGGGCCCTTGGTGACCTTTAAATCCTCTGCTGACTGTTTCTACGATTGTTCATCCCCCCCCCCTCTCCCCCCCCCCCCCCAATCTCACCCCTGATATTAACATCTGTAACAAATGGTTCAAAAAGTTGAGTCCATGTTCATGTTCCAATCGTCATATTTGCTTTTTGGTTAAGCTTCAGAGCATCCATTCCCCTCCGCACAACTTAGAAGCTAAAATGTACAATGTCATGTTCAGTTAACAAAAAAGTCCACATATGGCCGCATTCACAGTGAAATTAATTTGTGAAAAGTTACTCTGAAATGTTAACATTTCATCCACACTTGGAATTAATTTCGGCCTGCTGAAAATCATTCAATGCGTAAACTTTACCGCACCGTTCTCTCTCTGAATCTTGTGAGGGCGCCCTACCATTGACTTTTAAACCTAACACCGATGTGGTTGTGGAAAAATGCACCAAATAATATTGCAGAACACATAACAGTGACAGTCTGCACAGGACTTTGCAGTTGTGTAAAACTAACAATGTAATTCTTTCGTGACCTAGTTGGCTGCGGACCATCAAACAAAAAATCGACATCTACACTGGACAATTTAAATAGTTTGCCAGCTGGCCGCACTGGTTAACTTGACAGTCTCTGTAAAGTTGACAACTGTCTTGGCTAGTGTAACCAAAATAAGTCCAGTGCGAACACAGCTTATGACAGAATTAAAATGGTTGCTATTGTCCAGTGCGAACATGGCTTATGGCAGAATTAAAAATGTTGCCAGTTTTCTCATTGTAATAACACTCCATTGACATCCTCACGCTTTGCTAAATATCCTCCCCTTGTCACCACTCTAAAGTGTCAAACACTTCATCGGTTCCTTTGCCCCGGAGGGTTTCCCTTTTGTCACAGGTCCGTGATCTTGTAGCAGGAAATACCTAATCACTTAAGACTGATAACGACTTGTTGCCTCCCGTTTTTTGATTCCAGTGATAAAAGATTCCTGCCTTGGGAGCCAATTAGATAGGGGATCGAGGGCTCTTCTTAATGCAAGGTTAAGAGGAAAATGTCCACTGTTCCTTTTAGTTTATCCTGAGGGGGAGTAGTTTAATAAGTGGCATTAGGAATATGTAGGATGGGGTTGCTTGGGGGGGGGGGGGGGGGGAGGTTGATGACCGACCTCACATCAAAGGAAATCCAAAAATGGATCCAGAAACTTCCACCAAATTCTTATATAATATCAGTTTATTTGTTCTGGAGAATTCTTTATTCTGGAATTGTAACTTAAAACCCCCAGAAACTAGACAGTGCCTGGTTTAAATGGCTTATTGAGTAAGTAAAAAAAAAATTCTGACATGAATGTCGGTGAATATGATCTTAAGCTCCATTTCATGAGAGATTTTGTTTTCTTATAAAAGTGACTACATGTGGGTACCGCAGTCAGTACAGATATGGGTCATTCCATAAATGTGGGGTCCAAAAGTGTGACCTTTTTGTGTCCCTGTTACACCTGACTTGTGTAGTTTGCCATGTAACTATCATTAAAATTGACTATTTTTAAAATTTGTTTGGCAACTACTTTGCTTTAAATAATCACTCTTGGAGATAGAAGGCATTAAAGAATGTCTCCTGAATTTACAAAATCTTACATCAGATGTGACAGGAACACACAAAAAACATGACACCAAATTTATGCAATGGCCCATAATATGATATTGCAGGTACTTTATTTGATTCAAAGTTAGGGACAATGAGTATCTGCAATAATGGTTCACTTACCATTGCAACTTTTGTACCTTGTTCTCTTTGCCAGCCCAATAGCCTGGACGGAGTCATTGAGCTGGCCAAATGCAATGAGGCTTCTGAAACACCAGTCAATAGGAACTATGGCTTCCAAATAGAGGTAACCACCAAACTGTTTTTCTTCATTGTATACAAAGAGTTTAAATGAAAAATTAAATTGATTATTGAACCTTTGGTATTTCTTACCAATAGTCCAATACAGTTGTGTCCATGCGACAGTTCATGTGGTAACCTTGAATGACAGGAAATTCAGTCCCTGTATGGATTAGCATTACTCTGGTTCCTGCTGCTTTCATTTCCTTGATAAGAATGCCAAATGTCCATATGCATTGTTTGGTGCAGATCTGGGCTCCAGAATACAATCATAAGCATGCTTTCAGCTGTATTTGTGTATTTATTCAGAAGCAGCACTTAAACGAGTGGAATGAAGTGACAATTGATTCAAAGTTTTGGTTTTTAAAAGCGAAATCTGTTCAACGTTCTAAAGATAATGTCTTGATTGTTCTTCTTTTGCGGATCAGCTTGATACTGGCGTCATCATTCTGGCTGCAATGACATCAGGCATCCGCAACAACTGGGTTGGAGCCATCAACAAAGCCATCAAGACAGCTAGAGAAGACAGTGCCAAGAAGAGCAGTGAACCCACCTCTCTGTTGAAGGAGAACCAGCCCCTAGTATCCAGGACCAACAAGCCCAACTCCCTACCCCTATCCAAGAGCACCTCAGATGTGCAGCCCAGGGAAGAGCAATCCTCGCCCCTGCAGCCAGCCAGAAGGAGCCTCAACAATGTGGACTTGATTCCGCCTTCCAGCCGCCTGACGCAAACTGACAGTAAGTCAGCCACTCAGTCTCCAGTCGAACTGAAACCACACCTGGAGAGGAGATCAACCTCTCCGTCCCAACCCACCAAGACATCTCCCTCAGAAGGCCTTCCTCCGCACTCTGGCAAGCCTGAAGGCAGGCGCAGCTCAGTCACCAAAGCCCCGTCCTCTGAATCGAGACCCAGGCGAGGATCCGTCCCCAAAGAGGGCGCATCCTCCACAGGGGCCAGGCGGAACTCTGTCACCAAAGACCCTGGGATGAGTGCCGACGGGAAACAGAAATCAGTCACAAGGGATCGTTCAGGCTCAGACTTGACAAAACCAAAGGAGAAGTCCAAGGAGAGGCGTGGTAGGAGAGGGTCACGGTCAGAGAAGAGATCCCAAGAGGATACTGCAGCAGCCGTCACAGCCGCCCTTTCAAAAAGGACTTCCAACACAGACTCTAAGCAGAGCACCACAGTCAGAAAGTCTAGGAGTAATTCACAACCTGAGGAACCTGTCACACCATCCTCAAACTCTGAGCAGGAGATTTCCCCTCGTTCTAGGACTGATTCGAATAGTAAGAAGCAGCCAGCTACTGTGGATACTACTGTCATGTCGCTTCTTGAACAGGAGGTATATAATGTGAATCTCTTGTTTGTCCTCTTGCAGTTTAATTCTTGTGTAGTGTTGTTGATTTCAAGTTGCCTCAGAAATATTAGCTTTAAGAGAGAAGGTTTGTTCTTAAAATCAAAGATTTAACAAGATGTTTTGCTTGTATTTTTATTAGTAGAAGATTCAATCATCTGTAGAGCTCAACCACTTTTATTAATATTGGGGCTTAATACCCAAAAAGTCAAGTCCAAAAGAATGCATATTAACAGAACAACATTAGATTTGATTGGATGATATTAGGAACATTTTAAGGGTTAGAGTAAATATATAAATGAGATGATTGGTGTTTGGTTTAATGATGTCATTGTGAAGGACATTATCTTTATTCCATTGAAAATCACACAAATTATGAAACAAACATTGTTTTTGCAACAGGTGGACACACTGAAGGCCCAACTGGAGCAGAAGCAGAAGGACTGTGCCCGGCTGCAGCACCAGAATGTCAACCTGAAAGCGCAGCTGAACTCTGAGCAGAGAGACCACAAGGAGAGCTTCCAAGACCTTGAGAATGAACAGTCAGGGTACATGACCCAGGTAGGACATGATCAGTTGCCAGGATGCAAATGTTTTTCCCCAAATGACATAAGCAAATAGGGGTGTAGGGTATGAGGTTTTGGACTTAACTTCCCTAAAAACATGAGAAAAATATATATTTATAAAAAAAGAAAATGAATTTGAACCTAATGAAATGCGGACTTTATTTCCCTTTAAAAAAAATCCTCTCAAGTGCAAAATAGAAAAGAAAAAAAAGAAATGGAAAAATGTGGTTTCATACTCAAACCCTCCGATCTCAAAACCATGACGTTATCCAGCTGAGCCATCGGAGAGCGCGACAGCAAACCGTAATTCATGGCATTATATACCTGCATACGTATGATAACAGTATTGTAGAGGGCGCACAACAACCATCCATGCAGTGTTGTTGGGAAGGATTGGGGCACAGCAAGGGCGTTATAGTACGGCAGATAGGTGATGGGATTGTGCCTTTAATGATACACGCATGGCTTTGGGCACACAGTCAGAGTATGTCATGAAAGTATGTCATGGCCAAATTTGTCCTTTGAAAAAATATAGGTAGAATGGCAAGCAATGGCAGCTATTTTGAAAATTTTGAAAATTTTGAAATTGCTTGTTATTCTACCTATATTTTTTCAAAGGATAAATCTGCATTTGCCCTTTAGCCAAATATCTTTCTCAAGACATACTCTGACTGTGTGCCAAATGTCATGCTTGTATCATCAAAGGCACAATTCCCCCAAATATCTCCCCTATCTGCCCCACAATTATGTAAAGTCTGGATCCTAAGACCAGTGTTAACTCATAGGCAGTGTTGTAGTCAAGGTACTTCTGATGGAGTACATGCACATAGCAAGTCCGGTCACAAGTCAATCACAAGTCAATTCACCAGTCACAAGTAAAAAGGCATGAATCAAGTACATGTACAACAACATAGGAATGCCTTTGTCTCAGTTCATTTGAATAGTTGTTCAGTTGACTTAGGAGTGGATGACTTGTGATAGGCTTATGACGACTAGTGATCTGATACAAGTAGCTCGCCTACATGACTGCTGATAAGCTTCCTTCGCACACAAACAGATTCTGCAATCATAACAATGATATTCTGTAATTTCTTGTGCACGGATTATATTGATATATACAGGGTGGTAAAAAAAACCGGAATGGCATACTTCCACTACCCTGAGACTCAAACCACCTATACCAATGCATGGAGAATCTTTTTAAAAGACAAATGATACCAAGATCGCCCGATTCAGTCCAGTAGTTTTTGTTGTAGAGCTTATTTTGTGAAGCAAGGTGGGGGTCATTTTTGTCCCAATGAATTACTAACTGCGCCTGGGGATTTGACTTACATTGTAATTGATAAAGGGATTTTTATGTAATAACAACCACATGAAAGAAGTGTGCTTCACAAAATAGGCTCTGCAGCAAAAACTACTAGACCGAATCGGGAGATCTTGGTATCATAATTCTCCTTAAAGGATTCTCCATCAGTTGGTACAGGTGGTTTGAGTCTCAAGGCAGTGGAAGTATGCTGTTCTGTTTTTTGGGACCACCCTGTATATGTCTGTGCTTGCATTGTAGAAAGCTTGAATTTTTTTTTTCAAAGTGAAGCCTTTTCCCTTGTCAATATATTATTGAATAAATACCAAAGACTGTAAATCTTACAGACTTGGAAAAAATTCACTCTGACTGCAATGCCACACCTTTGTTAAGGAAAATAAAAACCACTGCGTGAAGTTGACTTTAAACACTTGAGTAATCTAATCTTTGGTTTATTTTTTAAAATCTTTTACAGATTGAGCAGATGGAAAAGACCAACCAAAAACTGCAGGCTGAGCTGCGACAGTCCAAGAATGCAACCCAGCAACTCCAGCAGCAGAACCAGCAGCTAGGCAGCAAATTCAACGCTGTTGAGTTGGAGGCCCAGGGACGTGACCGAGAGTTGGCGACACTGAAAGCTCGATTTGAGGACATTGTCCGAGACCTCACTGTGACCCGTTCAAATCTGAAGGAGGAACGCGAGCGCAGTGAAACCCTCGAAACAGAGTTGACTGACACCTGGACAAAGCTTAGGGAGAGCGGTCGAGAGGGAGTCGATGTGGATGTTATTGGACGTTTGTCAATAAAACTGGATGAAGCACGGGTGAGATTGGAGGAGAGTGAGAGTGATGCCATCGAGAAGGAGAAGAAACTTGAGGAGCGCTTCAGTCTCATGCAGAGTCAGTATCACTCAGAGAATGCTTCCTTGCAAGGAAGGCTCCAGGCAGCCATGGATGAGACTAACAAGCTTCAAAGGAGGCTTACAGAAAAGAGTGAGCAGGTTGAAAAGACAGAAGCTGCCGTGCAAAAGGCAGGACAGACTGACAAACCGTCTTCTGAGACTAATGTCGGAGTTGCTGAACTTGAAGCTACTGTTCAGAAACTGAAGTCTGAGTTAAAAGCAGAAGTGACAGCAAAATCAGAGGTGCAGCGAAAGTATGATGACTTGGTAGCTCAGTCAGCCCACCAGTTTCTTGAAGGACAGGGTGATATGGCCTCCACAGGTAGTGATGACAATGCCGTCAGGCTGGAAACAGAATTGGATCTGGCAGAAAGAGAGCTTGAGAAACTGAAAAAGCATAGTGCATCTGAGAAGGAGAAAAAGATATTACTTGAGAAAGCCTTCCAAAAGGAGCAAGCTCTCAGGAAACAGCTGGAAGAGAGAATAGGTCAATCAACTCAGGAAAGTGGCAGCTCAAAAGTTGACATTGAACAAAAGAACTCAGAGGTTGCAAGCGTCCGTGATGAGTTGAAAAAGGCAAAGAAGGAGCGGGAAGCAGTCAACTTGGTTCGGAAACAACTTGTAACAGCTGTGGACAGTTTAAATAGCCAGTTAGCCGAAAAGGAAAGAAAGATTGAGACACTCAGTGCTGAAGTGGAGACCCGCGGCAGTCAGAATAGTCAATTAGAGCAGCAGTTACAAGCAAGTCTTTCTAAAGGGTTGAATTTGCAAAGTAGAGTGGAGAATTTAGAAGCAGAGTTGAAGCAAGTGTCCGAGAAGAGAGAGACAGATGCTAGTGCCCAGCTGGGAGCACTACAGTCAGAACATCGACAGCTTAAACGACAAATTGGCACCTTAGAGGAGCAGCATGCATTGGAGATGCACAACCGACAAAGTGAACTGGAGACAGCTGGAGATCGCATAAATAGTCTCCAGGATAAAGTGGCAGAGCTGGAGATAAAGCTGAAAACAGCAATGGAAAGAGCTGCCAGGATTGAGGATGAGGCAGCAGCCAGCATACTTGATATGCAGAAGGAGGATGAACTGCTGAGGTCCAAATGTGAGCGTGGAGAGAAGGAGATCAAACGTCTCCGTGGTGAGCTTCATGGAGCACAGGATAACTATGATGAACTGGAGTTTCAGTTCATTACACAGCGCGAGGACCTGAAGCGGATGGAGCACGACCGTGGAAAGGAGATTGGGCAGATGGGATACAGGATCCAGGACCTCACCAACAAGTTGGCGGCAGCGGAGCGAAAGGTGAGAGATCTGAGGGGGGTAGATCACAGAAATAGGGCAAAAGGTGGAGTGGGGGCAGCTGGAGGGATGGGAATGCAACTAACCCAAACTCGGCAGATGGAAAATAAGCTGAAGGAGCTGGAGTCTAAGTTGGGGGATGTAGAGAGCACCTTGCAGGACCAAGATCAGGACACTACCAGTCTGCTGGGCAAAATTGTCTCAGTAGAGCAGCAGGTCCAGGCTAGGGCTCAGCTGCCTTCTTCCAGCAGCGTATCCAGTGTGGATGCTGAGCATCAGCTGCAATCCCAGGCAGTGCAGCCACTCTCTCGTGGCTCTTCTGCTGCTAGTGTACCCTGCGATAGTGTCTCAACTTCAGGTGCTGACCTCTCTGAGGACTCGGAACCAGCCGAGTCCCCAGACAGAGCAAAGCAGAATTTCCGTGCCCGGTTCCTAGAGACGAAACTGAGCGAGACGGAGCTGAAGCTGAAGGAGGTGACAAGAAAGCTTGTTGATGTAACAACTCGTGAGTTGGAGAACCGGAAGGCTTACCAGGGGAAGAGTGTCTCTGAGAGCCGTTTGAAGGAGAAGTTGAAGGTCATGGAGCGTGAGGTGGAAGCAGTGACCAAGGAGCTCCAACAGGTACAGTCAAACAGTCGAACCTTTGCCTGTGCTATGCGGGCTACCTTGACTGACTGTGGACAACTCTTGGGGGACATTAAATCTGGCATAGAATGGGTTGATTTAGAGGTGGGCTTGGACAGGAATGCCAGGGATGGGCTGCAGCGGGTGGAGGTAGCCACTAACCCAAATACTACTAGTCACACCAACATGCTTTCATGCCTCAAATCCCTGCTCACCGATGCATGCCACAAAGTAGATCAGTGTAAACAGACTGCCTTGTCCCAACAGACCCATATTGAAAAGCAGAGTAGGGAATCTGTAAATTTGTTGATTAGGGAACGGAGTGGTGAGGGCAGTTCGGCCGGTAGTAGCTTTGCATCAACCGCAGCTTCGAGTTTTGAGAGCACAGAGTTACACATTTCAGAATCTTGCTCAACAAAACCTCGCCAGAGAAACCCAAGTGTCATTGGGACATTGGAGCGTTTTGCTAACAGGCTGTCTGCTGAGGTGATTCTTCTGGGAGAGTCCACCTTCCTCCTCCATCAAACAGATAGGCAAAAACTTGCCAAGATACAAATGTGTTTCAGGGAAAGTGAGTCGCTCACTACAGCCATGACAGAGCTAGAAAGTGCATTAGGTTCAGAGCATAGTGATATGAATCAATCTACTCTCACTCATACTTCCCAGACAATCAATGATCTTCTTTCCCCAAGGTATCTCTTGCAGGCTGAAGCTTGTTACAACAACCAGGCTCCTCCTAAAAATCAAATGGAAGGTTCAACATCACAGTTTACTTGGCCCTTTATTGACAGGCATTCTAAATCAAGATCCCCTCTTAAGAGGCAGAAAAGAACGAACACACCGACGAGTCAGTTCACACATTCCAAATCTCTTGAACACTCCTCAGTTTGGACCCCAACATTAGATAATTTTGCAAACTCATTGGCAAATACAGTTATTAAAGCTGGGCAGGTTGAGTATCTGTCAAACACTAAGAAGGGTATGAATGTTGAACCATCTGTAGTAGGAAATGATGTATTTTCAAAGCTGCACAGCTCTGAGCTTAAGCTTGAAGAGATAGCTGTCTCACTCCAACACAAACACAAAAAGTTCAGTGAAGTATTTGATGGACATCTGAAAAGGGTGACACAAAGACTGTCGGAAATTCTGGCTCATGTAAACAATAGGCGGGTAAGGTCTGAGAAGGAGCGAAATCGGAAGGCTGGCCTGTGTGTTCATGATGATGATGTATTTGGCAGCTTCAATGACATTGTTCCATTAGCTGCAAAAGATGTGGATATTGTGGGTATACTAGACTCAGTGGGTCAAGACCTAGTGTCATACGCAAAGCAGATAGCTTTGCAGGAAGCTAGAGGGACGGCTGTGAGTTTGGTTGAGGACAAGATGCTGCTTGTTGAAGTCTTCCATCTGCTACAGGTGAGGGTCACTGACTTCCTGAAAAAGGTCTCTCTGGAGCGCAGCACTTGTCAAGTGGTTCTCAGAGCTCTGAGTGATGTTGGGAAGAAGAGATACTCCTACATTGAGACCCTCTTAGAAGAACAACTCGTCTTGGTCAAGCAGGAGCTCTTTCAAAGTTATCAGAATGCTGTTGCTGATGTACGAGAGGGTAAAGGCGTGACTTGTGGAGATGGTGTTGATCTTCACCACATGTTGGGTGATTACGTTGGTCTCTTAGGAAACCTGATGATCAGGAAGGTAGTTGTTGGGGGTCTGGTGCAGCACATTCAGGAGCAAATGCCACACTCATGCAACTATGAAATTGTTCCTTTGAATGATCATGATGTCAGTCTGGACCTGATGGCAGGTAGCTTTGAGCAGTTTGAACCTGAACGTGTCATTTCACGTGTCCCTGAGCCAGTCAGTGCTGAATATGAAAACATGGCAATCTGTTTGGCAGATGCAGCCATAGAGCGTGCCGAGATCGCACATTTGTCCAGCCAGTTTCAGGATGAGTGGGAGCAGATAATGCAGAAAGGGCATTGCAGTCCCATTGCACATATCACAGCTGAGCATGCCCGGAATATGGCAGAGGTTCGGCGACGTTATGAGACCCAACTCAAGGCTGAAGAGTTGCAGCACGAACAGGAGTTGAGTGCTCTACAAGAGAAGTACAAAGAAGCCCTAATGAAAGTTGAAGAGTTGGAAGCAAAGTTGCAAGGAATGCAATTCAGGCGTGCCAGCAAACCGGAGATTACCCTGACCTTGGAGGAAGACTTGAACGACACGCTGGATGACCTGGTGGCGACGCGTTTAGGAGAAATTCTTGCCGAGCTGGAGAGTACCAGGGAAAATCTTGCCAAAGCCAAAGAGATGACGGCGACTGCGGAGAAGGAACACATCAAGGAAGTGGATGCCATCACAGATGTGATGGAGAACATGGAACAGCGGTATCAAGCTGAGATACAGACTCTTAAGACAGCTCACAGAGAGATGGTCTGGGACCTGCAGAGGGATTTCCAGGATCGCCTAGAGCAACTGAAGAAGCAGCATTCGCTGGAGATGACCCAGTTGAAACACCAGCAGATCTACAAGAGTCCGCAAAAAGAGACGACCTCAGCCACCAGTCCTGACAAAATGGGTCAGGTAAGAACCGGTCGGGGCTAGTTTTTGTCATGTTGACATGATGTGGACTGGTTTGGATGTTTTTCAGTTTAAGGTTGCATCGTTTCTTCCCTGCTTCTGTTGTTGCAAACCTCTGGTCCCAAGTCAAACCTTGTTTACTTTTTTTTTGCTACGGGCTGCAACTTGCATGTTGGCTGGGATGCATTATATCTACAATTTGAGCCGTCACGTACAACTCACACGCTTCTCTGCAGCTGCATCAGCACTCCGTGTCTTGTGCCCCACCCTCAAGTTCTCAAACACACTCTGCTTTGTTCCGTCCCCTAGTTTGGCCGTGTACACGCATGTTGACATGCACGATACCCGTGTTGTCAAGCCCTTGAGCATGTACACAGTGATGCATGCCCGTTGTACTAATAACCCATAAGTTTCCCTATTCTAGTATTGTAACACATTGTCAACATTACTCTCCTCTTGAGTATTCTGTCACCCCCCCCCCCCCCCCGAGATATGATAAGTTAATAGCATGTTGTCTTTGTGGCATGTATCGTGTAATAACGTATCTATATACTGTATATATATATCTCACAATGCTATTGCCATAATCAGCATTTGTCAGCATTATGTTTTGTTTTGCTTTCTGCGCCGCAAGCAGCTATGGTATTCAATAATATGTGTTCTGTGATAACCGGTAATAAATGCCTTGGTGTACTAACATTGGTGTTTGAGTGTTCCGTGTTGTTTTGTTGTCAACTCAAAGCATTAACCTATTGTACTCAACCAGAAGCTGTGCATTGCGGAAGGGCCTAGATAAAACAAAGTTTGATGTGATGCAAAAATAACCACAGCCCTTGGCTTTACTACCAAATTGTAAACATTTGCACGACTAAATTGTCATTGAGTTGTAAAGAAAGCAGGGTGGTTTAACTCTCCAAATCGGCAGTGATTGGTTTGGATTTGTCTTTCAAGGAATGGAGGTTTCAGACTCTTGAGCATTTTTAAGGCCATGAGAGCACAGTGCTTTGATTTAACAAGTCAAGCACTTGAAATCTTGTCTAATGAGTTATGCAGTAATGTGAGCCTGTCACCTCAGACCGAGTATTATCTAGACCCTACCGCTCTCAGATTTTATTTTCTTTATAGGTTGTTTCGGCATACATCGGTGTTTGTTTTCAGCGCCATTCTTTTTTTTGGATGTTGAATGTTTCAGAACCTGTTGGTGTCATTTATTTGTGTATATGGTTCGTTGCAAACTATGTTTTGTTTTGTTTTGAGGTTTTCATATCGGTATTCACTGCAGATATGTAGTGTGATGTAGTCTTTTGAAAGAGGTTGGAAAAAAATTATTGTGATCACGCTGTTATGTTTGCTTTTCTTTGGGAAGTGTGCAGTAGACTTCAAGACATGTTCAGTACTAGTATTGAAATGGTCTGTATATTACCCAAAGGGTGTTAAAGTTGCCTTGTCAAGTGCAAGTCAGGGAAAGTTTTTTTGTGACTTTTATGGAACTATATATAAGCTGTGTTGTCAAAGCAACAATTATCAAGTAGAACATCTTCTTAGTTTGTTAAAATGCATAGATAGATTGTTTTTGGATGAATCAGATGTACATGTATGTTGCATAGTCCCTTAGCTTTGTTAGCCTTGCATGTTCACTGTTCTTTTCATGGCATGATGCATTTGATGCTGCTTCTCATCCATGCACTGTGATCTTCCATTTTAATATTTCATGACCAATATTTCAGTGAACATTTGTCAGCGGGTTCCCTGGGAATTGAGAATTGTTCAGAAGTTGTACTTTTCCAAGAGTGCGATTTTTTAGTCCGCAATATGACAAAAGATTGCTAGGTTTCTTAAATCTGTGACAATTTTTTAATGAGAGGTGTGAAACATTTTTAGCTTGTCTTGATTTGTAAAAGTTTCCAGAATCAAGATGGTCCCCTCCCCCATAAAAAAGTGAACACAGTTTAGAAATGTTTCTCTGTAATATTGAAAGGAATTGAAGATAACTCTGAAAAGATGTTTACTCTTTCCAATGTTTTGATTTAACATCAGTGATTTTTTTTTAGCAATACATTGAGAACCCCCCCCCCCCAAAAAAAGAGTATTGGCTAATGTAAAAAAAAAAAAACATAACAGATAAATGAAAAAATGGTTAGTGGCACTCACTTTAAAAACACTTCTAACTTCAAGTACTGAACCTTTCTGTACTTCATTCAGATTATTGTAATTCAATGTATGTACCGTAGCATCTTGTGCATGCTTGTAGTATGTCATTGCAGCATATGTAGCTTGCTTCCATGTCAATTCTTTACAAAAAAATGTTCGTCACAGCAAAACAAAATCATCCCAAGATACATTAGAAACAGTGAAAAAGTCTGTTTGACAAAGGTAGAGAGCAATTCCAAACTTTGAAAGTTACTTTCTTAAGTTGAACAAAAAATCTCAAAATGTTTTGAATAAACAAGAACCTTATTAACAGTTCTGTTTTCTGTGAAACAGGCAATACATTTCTTGTTTGCTTAGGAAGCGTACACACTTGGTTGCCTTGGAAGGAGTTTTGTAAAATACTGAGCATACATGTAGCATTTGGGATGTTGCTGTGAAGTACACAACCATTGTCTATAGTTCATTGCATGAGGGGAAACCGTAGACTAAGACCAGATTGTCAATAATACTGTCATCCATGATCATGATCCATGTAGCATTCAGGATTACACATGGGGTGACCATGATCCATAACTTTCAGGATTACATATAGGGTGACATACAAGGTTACACATGGGTGACATACAGGGTTACACATGGGTGACATACAGGGTTACACATGGGTGACATACAGGGTTACACATGGGTGACATACAGGGTTACACATGGGTGACATACAGGGTTACACATGGGTGACATACAGTGTTACACATGGGTGACATACAGGGTTACACATGGGTGACATACAGGGTTACACATGGGTGACATACAGGGTTACACATGGGGTGACATACAGGGTTACACATGGGGTGGCATACAGGGTAACGTTGGGTGAGACACAGAAGCAACATGATAGCAATATACATGTAATATTAAACATGGTGACAAATAGGAAAACACACAGGTTGACACACACAAGGTGACTCACTGACTGACACTCGGGGTGACACAAAGAATGACACACATGATGACACACAGGGTGACACACACAGCCTTACACATACAGGGTGATGCACAGGTTGACACTCAGGATGATGCATGCATGTAGGTTGACACACAGTGTGGTACAGGGAACTGAAAGCCTTGATACATGTACATATTCGAAAGTGACAGAAAGAAAATACTTGTAGTGCAACCCTGCATATTTTTGAAAATCGAAAGAGCATGCAAGGATTAAAATATTTTATCCACAAAGTACTGAAGCAAAATTTTGACTACAGACAGCCATGACATATGCTGCTGTACATGAAGAACAAAAATCATTCAAAAATAGCTGGGGTAAAACAAGAAATTAGTAGGGGGAAAAAGTTCTTATGAACAGCAATATGAGGCTTGAAATAGCTGTTGCTTTTTGCACCCATGTAGATATTTCAGTTTTTGCACCAGTTGAATTCATGCACAGAATAACTGAGCAAAAGTTGATCCAGTGAAACGATGTCAAATATTTTCTGCTCTTGACAAATTGTTGTCCAAATCTTGTTATTTTGCTTCCGTTTCCCCTGAAATTTAAAATTGTTTTGGTTGCTTGTAGTATATGACTTCTCAAAGGAAATAACCTGCTTATTTGAAATGTCATGTATGTTAAGTGTGTTTGACACAGCTAACTGTGACCCAAACTGAAATGTGAATTTTATTTTGTTTAATTCATTTGAAAGTATGTATTATTTTGTTTTGCCTTAACCTGTTTTTGCAGCTTACATAATTTGCCGATGTAATGCACAATGCCATTTTCAAGTAACTTGTATGTGCAAGTGCATTCTGATCTGCCTGGAATGTTATAGTTTGCGGGGAAACAGTCGACCAACCCCAAACTTTTTTATTTTTGTCCATGAAATTATTTATCCAAATCATGTTGGTTTGTAGCCGGCATTTATTGCAAACCTCATTAACCCTAACTCCCTAGGCATTTTGATATGATGCAATAGAATAGAAGAAGAAATGATTACAGCATACTGTAAACATACAGTGATTGTTGCAAACGTTTTGTACTCGTAAATTCTTTCTTTTCTTGTTTTAAAATGAACATTTTGTCAACCACTTAGATTTGGGGTTTGGTTGGCTGTTTCACCGATCACTCACTCCATTGCAGATTATACTAATCGTTGTCTCTGTTTCCCTCCCCTTTTTCCTCCTTGGTTCCGGGTTCATGGACATTTTCACATCTGTATTTTTCTCTTTGCCTCCTGATTCCCATTCTCCCTGAACACATGACATATTCCTGTTTGTTTATCCCTCCACCACGCTGACCTTTGTTTTTTTCCACCACACTGACCGTCCTGTCTCACCTCCATTTTACCCCCTTGATCTGGAAATCTCCATTCGTGCTGCTCGTCTTCTACTTTTTCTTCGCGACTTGTTTGTTGGCTTCTTTCATTAATTTAATTCCTTGTCCACTCCCGCGTGCTTCTCTGTGTTGCCTTGTGCCCGTCTGACTTTCCAACCCTTAAATGCTTAACTTCGATATCCTCTTGAAACTCGAAACTCTTTTTCCTTATATTTATCTTGTTGTCACCTTTATTTTTCTGTGTGAAATTTCCTCAACCATCCTCACAAAATGTTTGTCATCTTCAACATCTACCCCTCCACCATTTCCCCCTTCTTATGTTCCTTAATTCATGGAATTCCATTCCCATTCTTGTGCTTTTAATCTCTGGAATTCCATTCTCATTCTTGTGCTTTTAATCTCTGAAATATCGTCTTTTTTCTCTACTTGCAACCACCCTTTTACTCTCCCGTAAAACACACACCCTACACCCTTCCAATCCCCGCTCCTCTCCACCTTGCAATATCAATCCCCTGTCATTAAAACTCTTCCCTCTGCATCTCTTTTCCCCTGCCCTCTCTGCGGTTCCCCTTATCACCTCCAAACACCCCTCCGACAACAGACAAGGAACAATGGCGACCTGGTTCTCCAGGAGAAATCTCACCGGGAGATCCTGGAAGAGATGAGGCGATCTCACAACCAGGAGATCAAGGCGCTGGAAGAAGAAAAAGAAACGGAGCTAGAGGAAGAGAGAAAAGCTACCTCAATCAGTAAGTCTTTGTCAATTATTTGCTTATCCTGCCCTAAGCAATGAAACCTCTCATTTCCATGAGGGGGGGGGGGGGATTTTGTGAAGCTGCGCAGGATGTAGTCTTAGTCCAAGACTGGATTTGAATTTTTATTCCCCTATTTTGCAGTTAGTCCTGTGACAAATGCGGTTAAGTTGCTGCGGCAGTGGAGTTCTCTATCAACAAGATCAATCGAATCCAGACTTGGCAATATTGGCAGGCTACCCAGGAAATTCTGAGCATACCTCACACGCGTGCATTAGCGTGAATACAGCGCGCATGAGGTATGCTGGGAAATTTCCTAGGTAGCGCTGCCATCATTGCCAAGACTGAATGTGATTAATCTTGTTGATAGTGACTTCGCTTGTTACGGACTGGCTGTATAAGGGGAGTAAAAAACAAACCCAGTCTTGGACCAAGACTACTAAGCACAGAAATTTGCCAAGCGCAGAAAGTATTTGCTTGACAAAAACAGAGTACCAGCCAAAACATTATGCAAGGTATATTGATTGTCACCGGTTCTCAGCTGATATAAATTTTCCAAGCAAAACTTTCTTCTTAGGAGCTCTATAAAATTGGGCCATACATGTATTTCTTTTTCGATTCAACTTGTATCAGAAGTCTTTTCAGTGTTTTTGAAACAGGTCTACTTTTAGATGTAGCTTTTTTTTTCACTAGACTTGGTGTTCATTACAGCATGATTTCCATTTCCAAAAATCATTTCTTAAACCCTTGAATCTTCGCCCTTCACTAAACACTCCCAATAATGCTCACCGTTCAGCCATTGCGATGCTGAAGGACGCCCACCGTGAGGAGTTGGAGAGAGAGCGACAGATGCTGCGTCAGATCGTCCCAAAGGGGGGTACCCCACCCCTCCTGCCTCCCTCGAAGAAAGAGAAAAAGTTCGCCAAGCCATCCAAACGTGCCACCGGTTTGTTGACAGACACTCCCTGCTGTTCAAAATCCTTTGCCTTTATTTTGTTTTGTTCGCCTTTGCCAGCTTCAGCTGTTGTGAATGGTCATCCTTCTAGTCCAGCTGAGTAGTTTTATACACTGAGATGCTGCTCTCTGTGGTGCACGCGATGGGGCGCTAAGGAAACTAACATTTTTTTTGCTGTGTGCGGTCACACGTGATCCCTGCACAGAAGAAAAACTAAACGAGCATTCAGAAAAAAGTCGTTTCTAGTTTGCCAACATATTGATTAATTCTAAAAGCACATTCTTAAAAGTGGTCTTTCTGGTTTGTGTATAGATTGATACAGCTTTGTGTGTTCTTAGTATTAAAAAGCACCTTCTTGGCAGAACTTGACTCCTCTTCTTTGGTTACTGTTGTGATTACATGTATTGTGAAAGTTGCTATATTAGTAGTTTTTGTTGTGCATTATATAGTGAAGACTTGTCGGCTGTGCAGGTTAGAGTACAAATCTACCTTTTTCCCCCTAGTAATTTAGAAGGGAAAATACTGTCTTTGTTAGTCCTTTTCAATAAAAAATTATTTCCACACTCTTGCTTTCTCTTTGCTATTCCCTCTGGTTTTTTTGTGTATGTTGGTTTTTGGATGGTTTTCTTGTAACGTTCCGCCCGTGAATTAAAGCTATTGCTTGGATCAGAAGTTAGGTCCTCCTAACAACTTACTTCACACAACAGAAAACCCAACTTTCTTCACATTGTAGTTGGTGATCTACTTGGACAAATCGGTGTAGTTTCTTGTGGCAGGTTCTGGGAAAGCACCAAGCATACTGTGCTACACAGTCAGTTGTCAACCTTTAGGAGTGACAACAGCGTTGCTGCGTTATCAGCACTTTCACTCTCGCTTGCTTTTACACCCTTAATTTTCCTGGTAGTTTTCTCTCTACTGTAGATACTCATTCTGAAGCAGTTTGAGTGAATATTGCCAACTTTCTTATCTTCCAAAAAAGGATTGCCATTTTTGTCCTGGGTCATTTTCTTCTATGGTGATCTGTAGTTATTGAACATTAACACTACACAGATGGGTCCTGAAGACGCAGGTAGACTTGGGTAGATTTTTTAAGGTGTGTCACATATCTCTCCCTGTTCTCAGTCTCTCTGCACCAAGTACTTGTTTTACATCTTCTTGGAGGCACACGCAGAACTGCATAAACAACCTTTGGTGGAGGATTGAGATTTTTTTTGTAATTTTTAAATAACAAATGCTCCAGTGTATGAGGTTTTTGTCCAGTAGTTGACAACAATTCATCTGATTCAATATTGAATATGTTAGGCATGTCATTTAGCAGTTTTGTTTGCCATTTTTTCCCACATCATAATATACTTAATGTACTAAATACGAAGTGAAACATTTTTTTTTTAGATTTTGAACTTTGACCGTTTGACCTCTGACCTTTGACCTGATCGGTGACCTTTTGCTGGTGCTTGCTTACTCCCCAGGCATAACGGCTCTGCACAAAGCCCACAAGCATGAGCTGGAACAGCAGCGGGCAGATATGCAACAGAATGTCTCCAATGATGTGGAAGTGGTCATGAAACGGCACAGGTGAGAGGACTGGTAACAAGTCGTTTGTTTATGTCCCTCCTATAGTGGAATCCGGCGACCAGAATTAGAAGTTTTTACTACAGTGGTGTCAGGCTCACGCGCATACTGCATGCGTTCTTAAAGACGAGGTGCACGCGCATTTTGGTATTCCTATTGGTCAAAGGAGCCCAGAGTGCGTGTGTGATACCTGAGCGCGAATCGCGCGAGCCTTGCGCCATTGCAGAAAATGGCTGCTGCCAGATTTGTCTATAGAAGAATTCAAATGTACTTCAGTGTACATCTGCCAACCATATACATGTATGAGTGTAGGGTTCTCTCGCGACCTAGCCTACATTCAGGTACTGGACAGACTGCGTCGCCATTGTAGTAGGCAAAGATCGTATAGTGTAACGCGTAGTAGGTAGTATGCAAGCCTTCGAACTGTAATGGATGGCAAAAACCGAGAAAAAACGTGGAGCCAACACCCAGTGCTGGGTCGGCATGATTGTGACAACTGTACACAGCACAGATAGTGACCATTTGGACGTTTGATAATGAATTCGCGGTTATTTAATGTAAAAATAACTCCTACTATCTATCTATCTTACAATGCAACGCACGACGTGGTTGCTAACCAAATGCTTGCCTACTGCATAGCGGCCTATCACAGGGAAACCAGATGTTCACGTGGTACTTAAATGTCATACGATTGAACCCTGTAGGTACACACTGATAAGTGATGCATACATTTTCCTTCATAAAGTAAATCATTCACAGTTGCAGAAATACAGTTAAAGATTAAGATATATCGAATGAGAAATCAGTTTAAAGGGAATGTACAACATTTGCTTTTGCTGGAATTTTCAGAAACAAATAGATTTGGAGGATTAGTATGTTAGAGAAAATATTGTTAAACTGACTTGTTTCACGTTTTGGGCTTGTAAATGCTGGAAAAACCAAGAAAACCTATCATGTTCTTGTAGTCTGGTTCCCTGACCCCACTTAAGATGAAACGGAGCAATTAATTCACTTTGGGGAATTGTAAGGTCAGAGAATCAGTCTAGCAGGCTTGTACCCCTTCATAGGTGTGCAATCAATTTCAAAGAAAAGTCAGAATAACTAAATATGAAAAATTAGAAACAGTTGTTGGAAAAAGCCAGTTTTCTCCAACGCTGGTCGGCCGACCAGCGTTGGAAAAATAAAGTTTTTCTTCAAAATGTCAGCACACCAGGAGCCACGATTTTAAAGGATGCTTTAGAATGTCTGTCCCCAACAATTCAGTAACCTATTTCGTGATAATTTGATCATTTCGTTTTTTGATGTTTGCAAATGTTGTATCTTCCCTTTAAGGGAAGAAGTCATGTCTTGTAGACAGAAATGGAAAATTTGCTATTTTAGCTGAGAGAAGTTTTTTTGATAACTTTTTAAGAACCTTGTAGGATGATGGTTTTACAATGTTCTTTGTGCCCAAACGTTGACCGGTTGAAAAAAAATAAATAAAAAACAGTTTTAAAGATAATAGTGGAAACAATGAAAATGTACATGGTTCCGTTACAATGTGTCTGTGGTTTGAATTTCTTCGAATTTTTGATGAACAGTGGTTTGTTGATTTGTTCCCAACAACGTGACTAACATTTGAATGTTTTCTGTTGGATGACTTTTTTCAACCTTTCGTTGGATTGTTTTCTTGCTCACAACTTTATTAGGTCGACTTGCACGATTGTGCTGTCAGGTCAGTTTGAAACGTTGAAAAGAAGTTTGAAAGTCTGACGAGTTCAAATGTTGCACGATTTGTAAAATAGTAATGCACTATATATTTTTTTCCTTTTTCATTCTTGAAAATGTGAACCAAAGAATGAAGTGAACTTTAACTGTGCATGACAAAGTACTTCACCAAATATGGTCGTCTCTTTTGTGTACTTGCTACTTTTTGTAATTTGTATCATCACAATATTTGTTTATATTGTCGTGTCATATGTGCAAATCTAAGATACCTTCAATGATTCTATTTGTTTAGTGTGATGCTTTGAATCTTTCTTATGTCTGTCAATTTAGTGTGGACTACTGTCATTCGCAAACGAGACATATAGGTTGTTGAAATTTGCCCAGCACTATTGTCGGTCTGAAAAGATGTGATGTCAAGTTTCTTTTGTGCAAAAAAGATTAATTCAGGAATCTTTGTTCAAAAATGGTCAGTCCACATTTCATTATGAAGGCTTTGTGTGAATGTTTAGAAGCTTATTAAACTGTTTCTCTTTTTCAAGATCATTTGAATGTTTAAATGTTTAAAATTTCACAGCCTTACTCAATGCCGGTGTTGTATTTGTCCTCAATAGCCCTCACAAGTCCATCGCAAGTCAATCATAATTCATCCAGTCTCAAGTCAAGTCCCAAGCTGTTCCATTGAACTGTGACAAAAGTGTTCCTTTGTCATTGTTCATCCCATGTTGCTTGTGACTGGATTTGTGACTGGACTTGTCATGTGACTAGAGTTGTTACGGACTTGTGATGGATTCGATTTCAACACTGCACAATGCATGATTTGTCATGGGCATTCTTACGGGTGGATGAACTCTTACATTAAGAAGGTGACTTTATGTCCCTCGTTCCAAATCAGGGAGGTAATTACCAAGATGGACCAAGAGTGGAAGATCATCTCGGACAAGTTCACCCATGTCTGCGCCAACAACGCCACCCTGAAGAAGCAGGTGGAGACCCTGGAGAAGGGCCTGGTCGAGACGCGGCGGGAGATGGAATCCTGGAAGGCACAGGTTCGGCTACTGGTCGGACAGAAGGCAGAGGACATGGCGGCACTCAAGGAGCAGAGAGGGGGCGGGGCTGGCAATGATGGGGAGGAGGAGGAAGGCGGGCAGGATGACTGGGGAGTGGATGGCAATGACAATGAGAAGAATCCCTTGCAGGTTGGTGTGATAATAATAACTGTAATGCGTATATATAAAGTGCACGTATCCACCAGTTTTGGTGCTCAAAATGCTACATTATCATTACCCTGCTCATTGGGCCAATGAAACATTCCAAAGACAATCTCAGCTCCCTGGGGAGTATACAGCTCGATAATGCCATTTCAGCACAAAGCAGCTAAAACCAACCACAATAACCATCTCTGCCCTTGCAGTTACCCATTTTCTCCTGGGTGGGGAGAGGCAATGAGTAACAAAGTGCCTTGGCCAATGGCTTGTTGCTTGGGAGTGGTAGGGAGGGTGGGGGAGTGGTAGGGAGGGTGGGGGAGTGGTAGGGAGGGTGGGGGAGTGGTAGGGAGGGTGGGGGAGTGGTAGGGAGGGTGGGGGAGTGGTAGGGAGGGTGGGGGAGTGGTAGGGAGGGTGGGGGATTGGAGGGATCTGGTCAATTTTAGGGGATTGCCCTGTCTGCAGTCCAGATAGCATTATCCATAGAGCTGCTAAGAACACAGATGTGCTAAAGTGCAGAAGAACATGATTTGTTAACTGACCAAAAGGTCATATAATGTAACTTGCTTTCACCTGTTCTCTGCTGGCATGTACTTTGCATGTTAAGCAGTTGTTATTATTATTGGGTATTTTAAATTTTGTTGGGGGGGGGGTAAGTTTGTGTTTTGGAGTCAATCAAATCAGGACTAATCAAACGGAAGCACGATAATAAAGCAAAACAGCAAAGTTTTAGTCTTTAAATCAAATGTGAGACAAAGGTGGTTGATTTCTAAAGCTTTGTTGAAAAACCAATATTCTTTTCTAAAAACAGAAAATGTGAAGTAATATTAAGCTTTATGTTTTGTGATGCAGCTTCTTAGATGTTGGAATATCCACCTCTTTTCTTATTTTTGAACTCTTGTAGGTGTTGTTGAGATTTCGCGAGGCTGAGTTACAGTGCATCAATAACGAGATAAACCAACTCACAGCAGCTCTAGAAGAGGCTGAAAAGGTAATGAGAAACCAATCTCTCCAGATGTTCTTAAGGTAGACCGATCCACTAGGCCCTGCTCACTGTGCGCAGTTGCAACAACAAGTCCACCTTTTTAATGCCACAGTGCAGGTTCCTGCCCACTGCATGATTAGTCAGTCGGAAAGCTGTTTTAAGTCGGATGGAAATTGTTGCAGCTGTGACCTTGGTTTATGTGTACACCTCATTAGAGCAGTGGCGTTATTAGGGGGAGGGGGGTGTTTGGGGTTGGTCCCCCCAGCAGATGTCCATGCCACCGCAACCCTTCCCCCTGTTGAATTGAGCAAAAAAATGTATTACTTGCCTTCAGTCCCCCCCCCCCCCCTTGAAAAAGTTGTGCACCCCCAGGTGCCCCCTCAGAAGTTTGACCCTAGTTTATGCCACTGCATTAGAGCCACTTGGTTACAACACACAGCATGTACGCACCCAGCCTTTCACACATATACTTATGGGGAAGACCTTTGTTTCCCTTCACTTGTTTTCCTTTGTTCCTATTGAAATCTCAAACTTTATTGCGTTCCCTTATGGGGCAGATAGATTTCTAAAGACTTCCTTATGGGGTCTATTCTATTGTGTTTTCTACCCAATTGTGTTTTCTACCCAATAAGAAACCATTAATATTGAAGAAGTGCTTTTGCGGGGAGTCCAATGCAAAATATGGACCTGTTATGAATCAGCGTCCCCAAACGAAGGTGTTTAAACCCCTTTTAAAAATAAAAGTCATATAGGTTTTATTAGTCTTGACACACTGTTATGGGTGTTGTAGTGAGTTCAAAACAAGTCTTCACCAGTTCATCACAAGTTATCAAGGCCGTAAGCCAAATTACAAGCTATTCAAATGAACCGTGGCAAAGACATGAGTTTGTTATTGTTCATCCCCTGTTACTTGAACTTGAGATGGAATCATAAAGGACTTGATTACAAGGCTGACTGTTATTCCCCCTCCCTCCCCCACAGCAACGGACCAAAGCGATAGAGCAGAACGTCTTCCTGGAGGGCCAGCACCAGTCCCAGGAGGAGCACATCAAGCAGCTGATGCTGGCCCTTGAGGAGTTACAGCACCAGGTGGAGATTGTCCGGACCAGCGGGGAGGGCCAGGCAGCCCAGGACCAGATACAGGAGATGTCTGGGGCAGAGGGCAGCAGCAGCCAGCACAACCCCCCACAAGGCAGCGGAGATGCAAAGCAAGACGTCAAGCTCAGATCATGGCTGCCTTTCCTTAAGAGAGGTAAGAATATTGAGAAGTAAAGTCCGTTCCGAGCCAAATGGCTCATCAAGCTGGAATTTACCTCCGGTTTCCATGACATGAGAAGACTGAGAATATTTCTACCCCCCCCCCCACCCCAAATGTTCTAAACACGTGCTTGTTGCTCAAAATTTCTTTGAAATACGGTGCAGCCGATGCGCTTTCAGGAAATAAAAATTTGACTCCCAATCTGTAGGAAGTGACGTCATTTGAGAGAGACCTATTTGAACTAAAATCACTGTTGTGTGGTGTATTATGAGACGCTAAGAGGTGCTATGTTTGTTTATTTTTTCAATCTAGAACGAAGTGACTCAGCAGGGAAAGGATCAAGGAGACGGACGGGTTCCGATGGGACCCAGACAGCTGCCAAACTCAAGGTGAGAAATTTTGCTTGTCGGGAAGGGGGGGGGGGGGGATAGAGACGGGTTCAACAAAAACAATTACGCCTGTTTAAATGCATTTCTATACTGAGATTGCGGTTTTACACAGTTGAAGCCATCACAAGCCTGTCACAATTCATCCAGTCTCAAGTCAAGTCACAAGCTATTCAAAGTCACTCTGACAAAGGCCTTCCATTGTTGTTATTAATTTCCTCTTTCTTGATGGGGTCGACTGCACCAGTGATTTGTTCTACAAAGGGAATTTCATGCACAAGTGGACATGGGTCATTCCGTTTCTGACCTCATTATTATTCGTAATTCAAAAACAAAAAGAAGTATTTCCAAATATGAAAGTGGAAATGTTTTGAAAATGTCTTTTGTTTATGAATTACGAATAATAATCAGGTCAGTAACAGAATGACACATGGTCACTTTTGCATGGAATTGCCCACAGTGCAGTGTACTGGTTACACATCATTTGACATGCCAATGCAAGTAATTTCTATACATACTGGTACTGCACTAAAAATCAGGAGATCGTTAAAAGAAGATTTACAAGTTAGATTTTCCAATCATGACAGAGTATATAATTATATAACAATGAATGTCTACCCATGAGTATTCCAGTGAAACGTAAGCAACACCCTCCTCAAAGGTGGCCATATACATTAGGTCAGTCGTGCAGTCAGACATTGCATTTGCGATGTCCAAATGCTCTGCACACTTTTGTTCGGGACTGAACTATTTAACTATGGAACTTATCGCCTTAACTAGACGAAATTAAAAACAAAGTGGCTCAACATATACAAAGTATTCATAAATGAGTTTACCAATTCCTGTTGGTTGAGACCCCATCACGTGGGTGGTTTTATACGGCCGGTAAAACACCGCTGCGTCCTTCGCTACATCACGCAGTATGCGCCCTGTCTTCCAATTTCCATATAAGGAGATTTATAGCACTAGGCCAGTGAGGCACTTACCATAGACATAGACACTTACCATGGCCAGAGAGGTGTTTCACAAAACATGAAGAAATATTGTTGCACAAAATCAGAAATTTTAGAGTTTTTGTCTTGTTTTGACTTTTTGACGGAAAGGTATTTATGAATGGGAATAAAAATGTGCTTGGCTGGTTTTAAACAAGTACATTTAAAACCGGCTGGGAGCCTGGTCGCAGATAATGACCCTCACCTTCTGCCCGGTCCACTATCCGTGACCAGGCCCCTAGCCGGTTTTGATCGTACTTGTTTAAAACCAGCCAAGCACATGTTTATTCCCTCATTAAGCCACAGTGTCCATTCAGTTGTAATGTAATATCAAAATGTTAAATGTTAGATTTGATTTGGTGTGTCTTGTTACATGCAGAAGGGTGCTTCCACGACTGAATGAACTCTGGAAATCTCAGACAACTCTCACCGATTGATCTGCCAAGTGGAAGTCCGACCGATGGTGCACGCACGAACCTAATTGAACAGAATTGTCCGCACAGGGAATTGCTGATGGATCTCCACACGCCTCCGACCTCAAAAACACCTGAGAAGAGAATCAATATTGCCTAGTGGTTGAGGTTTGTGACTCATGATCAGAGGGTCAGTGGTTCGAATCCAGCTGCTGATCATATGTTGCATCCTTGGCAAGCTACTTCACCCCCACTTATCTCTCTTCACCCAGGAGTATGAATCGCAAAAATATTCTCAGTCGTTTCATGCCATGGATTTTCAACTCGCAAGACCTTTCTGTTTTGGAGCCTCATTGAACCCTCCAGTACCCATCACATTGACCATTAAGCAGGCACCCCATAGCACCTTCTTTTACCTTCTATTAAGGGACAATCAAGATAATGGACACCATTTGCAAAAATTGTAGGATTCTGTTAAAAGCGCCATGTGAGAAAATGATGGTAATTACTCTTTTCTTGAAAAATGACAGCATACCAGGTGTAATGATTTGAAGGATGCTTGATACTATTATCTACCTACAATCAGGTAGGATATTTCACAATATTTTGACAGTTCCTGTTTTGAATGTTTGCAAATGGTGTCGGGTTACCTTAAGCCCCTATGTTTAGACACACAAATGGCTGGGTTTGACTTGCCCGAATTCTGCTCTGTAACTCCAAATGCTTGGATTTTGAAGTTTTTAAGGACGATTAGTTAAATTTGAGTACAGCAGCAGCCAATTTCACGAAACTTGACGCAATGGTGCAACTCCGCTTGCGCCACAATTTATTGCGTAAGTGTCGCAGTATTTCACTACTGGCAGATTTCACGTAAATACTGTTATTATCCTTGTCCAAGATTATTAGATTATTTAAAACGTTGCGCAGCTACGCAAAGTTTATGTGAAATCGATCGCAAGTTTATCGCGCAGCTGCGCAACAAATTTGTTGCGTAGGTCTTACACATGGCGCAAGCTGTGCACTTTTTTGTGAAATCGGCTGCAGGTGATTGCATGAAGCACTGCGTATCTTCCTGAAGCATTTGAGGAATTGCTTGGACGATTGATGCACACATTCTTGAGAAAATCATGGCCGTGAATTACAGACATCGAATTATGAATTGTTGATAATTATTTTGTACATGTATCTAAAAAAAAAGAGCAATTCACTCTGCCTAGAAGTAGTTTCTACCTCAAATTCCAATGCCAGACGAACATACACAACGAGTGCCTTGATTTTATGTTAATTGAATGCAAGAAAGTACATTGAAAATACATACAATATTATGTCAAGGGATGTTGCAGTGTCACGCTGTAACACTGCATCCAAAACTGTTCTACAATGTATACATTTTACTCTTTTTTCCTGAGATAAAGTTTTTCAGTTTTAGGACTATGTAACCCTTGCAGTGCCCAGTGCTAATAATGGGACCAAAATGCCATCTTTTGACCATGATAGTCATGTGACCTTGCACTTTACTGAATAACCCATGAGGTTTTGTATTACACTGTATTACATTGTACTACATTGTATTTATATTGTATTCAGTGTATGACATTGTATATGTTCCCTGATGAATCTATGAAACCATAGAGTGCTGGGGCGATTTGGGATGGTATATGGAGTTATAGGTAAGGCGGTTTGGGGCAGTACACGGAGTAATGGGTTTATGTGTTGTTTGCCAATAATTGAACTTACTTGGTTAAGATTTCATTAGTTACATACGTGTGGCAATCAGTTGCGGTTGTGTGCTCACTGGGAAAAAGTCTTTGTTTTAGAATCACAGTTGTCAGAGAATACACGTATCCTCGATGTACCGGTTTTCGAGGATGTAAGGATTTATTTCAAGCAAGAGAAAAACACCGATATCGCCTTCAGTTTCCAAATTTTTTGGGCTGGCAGTGGAACACATACTGCACTTGCAACAGATCAGCTGGTTGTGTGGTACGAATCTGTGTGTGTGCATAGCTACTAGGTCAAACCCCGAAAACAGGATTCCTCGAAAACAGGAACACGGACGATATGTCCATCTTTGGGAGGGGGTGGGGCACAGAAATTATTGTGTCTCGTTCTAAAGGTCATTTTGAAGCCTTGGCTTTAGGCTCAGATTTTGACTTCCTGCTTTCAAGCCCTGGTGGTTGTTTTTACTTGATCTTGTTTGATATGACAAGACAAGAAAAACTGGCCCAGGAATTGACAAGGAGTTGAAACTGGAATCAGGTTTTCAGAAATGGGCCCTTCTCATGTCTGGTTCCAAGAATGCAACATAGTGTCCATTGTCCAACTCCTGTTTTGCCGTCAGTCATCGGACTATGGAGAATGAGTCTTATACTGTACTCAGCCATTCTGCAATAAGAACACACATAGCTCAAATATCATGCAAGGTTATTCATAACGCAATGTAGTGTAAGATATATCGTTGGATGGGGTTGCCCTAAACACACTTCATGGTGCTGCCTGCATTTCTCCAAGCATCTTATATTTTTGTACAATATATTATGTAGTCTGTTCTTCTCTATGCATTTAGTCTTTTAAACAACGAGGCCCATTAGATCAAGTTTAGCCCAAAATGGCACAAGAGTTTTTGTTTGATTTGTAAACAAATCAGGTATAAAACCAATCCAATAACTTTTACCAACAAAAGTGCTAGAGCTTATACATGTGTTTAACTAGTGCTTAAGTTAGGAATTTTTCATTTTTGGATTCACTTGTAGGCAGCTGTTTTGTTTTGTTTTGTTTTTTTTCCATTTTGATATGCACTTTATTTCAGTTTCTAGTTGACAGTTCAAACAATTTTTTGGTTTTGAGGGCTGAACAAAAGCTCTGCATGGGGTTATAATTAATTATGCGTACAGAAATACACATGAAGAACGTGCCTTAAACAAGTTTTTGTGCTATTTTAATACTTATTTCAAAAAAGGCTTCCATATTTGATTTACTTTTTTTTTTACTTATTAAAGGTAATATTGTATTCAAGATTTGTGGTCATGTACAATGTGCTATTGTGAATTTAGGTACAAAAAGATCGGCGGGGATAGGGGGTTAAAAAAAATGGAAAATACTTAGCTTTTCACAGTGCAGCCTTGCAAACGTAGTCCCGGACTTGTATTTTTGGATGCATTGTTTTGCACACAGTAACATGGAACATATAATACTGTGATAGGTGTTTTGACTCATACAGATGTAGGGTCTGTGATGTATTCACATTATCACACTCTATCAATTCAATTTTTCATTACAACAAAAGTGGTGCACACAAATCCACTGCATCTTTGTATGCAAATCAAGTGAAATTTCAAAAGCTTGAAAATGCAGTTAACTTTTCCGTGACCTTTTGAAAATTCTGAAATGACTACCAATATTTGTTTTTTTTAGTGATTTAATGCTGAACTTTCAGAATCCTATGAAATTCAGTGCCATTTCTAATGATGATTTAAGAACTGACTTTTGCAAAAACCTTGAAAAGAGCATATTTTATACTTTAAAGTGGCTCCACTCCGATTTGACCAATTTTACCTTGTCACGTTTGAAATACATGTAGTCGCCACATATTCTGGGGGAAAACCCTGTACTTGATTTCCAGCCTTATTTAAGAGACCGCCAATTTGTGGTGATGTTTTGGTGTGGGCAAGCATACTGTTATTTGTGCATTGTTGTCGTATTAGTTGTTTTGAGATTTCCATTGTCACTTAGTTCAGCAGGAAGATAAACCTTAATTTATACGTATATACTCAAAGCTTTTAAAGTATGTTTTCAAATAGCTTTAAAGGGTAGAGATTCGTCAACTGTGCATTGAAATTCTTGAATGTATTTCAGGAGAGATTAAGTTTTGTATAGCGTAGTTCGTGTTCATATTTAACTGGCTAAAACACTAATTGTTTATACACACGCATGTGGGCATTGTTCCATTAGATTAAAGTTTTTGTTTTTACTAGTTAACTTATTAATTAATGAGGGAAGGACCTGGATTAAATTAAAAATCCGGTTTCCTTTCCGTAATTACTCACATTTGATATACAGATAACAGATTGTCACACACTAATATTCATATTTGTCATGTATTTATGCTGAAAGTTACAGAGAAAATTGGTAAATTACTACCTATAATTTCATAATTACTTGTAAACAATTGTATCATTAAAATAAATAATTAAAACAAATGGAAAGAAAACATTCAGACTCTTTTGTGGACAACTTTTTCTGCAGGTATTTGTATGTTGCAATTCAAATACGAAATAACGAATAAACGTCCGCCCACACATTCCCAGTGGGCCCCCCCCCCCAGGTGCTCCCCACAAAAAAACCCTGAAGTGTCCCGCTTGCCAAGGAAGCGTTTTTGTAAAGTATCTGTTTGATTTATGAAACAGAAGAGGAGTGAAGTTGACTATATTTGTATCGATTCTATCCCCCTTTGATTGACCCTACATAATATGGAGAAGTTAATATATTGGTGAGAAAAAAAGAGCGTTCTCTAGCGTAAAAAGAGGTCCCCCACCGCCCCGCTTTTCGAATTTGCAGCACCTGGGAATTTGGGGAAATTTTCCTTGGGGTTTGCCCTTGGTGCCGCCCCATAATATGCTGGTGCCTTCCCCCCCCCCCCCCCCCCCCCCCTCCACTGTTCACTGCCCAAGACCAATTTTTTTCCTCAAAGATATTAATCAAAATATTATGCAAGACCAAAACGTGCAGGAACAATAAGTAATTCAAGATCACATATACGGCCACAATTTTCATTCAAGACCAAAATTGTATTCAACACGTTTCAAAACCAAAATTCACGCAAGACCAGAATGAAAATTATTTAATTCACGACCAAAGAATAAAATGTTGCTCTTGCATGAATTTTTGTTTTTTAAGAAAATTTAACAAGCGAATATTTTGGTCTTGCATGAAATTGGTGTCGAACGCATTTTCGGTCTTCGAAGGTATTTTTGTTGTTCTTGCACAAAATGTATGTCTTGCGTAATATTTTGATGGTAGGTAGGCCTAATCCTTATTTAAGGACCCCGTTCCTATATAAGGTTAAAAGACTCACCAAAACAGCTGAGATCTTGACAATGACTGATCCAACACTCGCGTAAATTCACAGGAAGCCTAACAAGTAAGTGATTTACCTATTGGCAAAATTCCTATACGTGGTTATATGTAGTGGATCAAACGATATAATGATTTCGCTTGTATTTATGCCAAGGGAAGTGCGTGGCGTTGTATGCTTTGAAAATGACAACTAACATGAGTTTATCTGAAGAAAAAAGACTGCTTTAGCCTGCAAAAGTCACTTTGGTACTGGCCAGTCATCTGCAAAAGTCAGTTTTGAACAGAACTCGTAAAAATAGAGGTGTCCTAAAGATAAGGATTACTATTTTGATCTTATCTTGGATGGGAAAAAAAGCGGATGAGCGTAGCGAAGGAGCATGAAAGCGGTCTAGGATCCTTGTTTTTAGGCCATCCGCGAATTTGCATAGCGCCCTCTTCTGGTACGGTAGCCACTTGCTTGCGGTCGACGGTCGTGAATTTACGTGAGATCGTTTTCGCGAGCGCTCGCTAGTTAAGTTGCAGACGAAAAAACTGCAAAATTATTCGGTCGGTCTATATCTAGTGATCTAGTCTATCAACAAGCGTGCCGTACATGCACTTTGCCTCTGGATCATGTCTCTTTAGAGAATTGTTTTCATGTGAGTCTTTCAAGCCAGCCTTACGCCCATTTCATGGAATATTTTGGGGATATATGTGATGACAAAACGGGGACTTTGGAATAATAATCCTGCCAAGTATGCTCGTTGCGACTCGAAGAAATGATGGATTTAGACCAAAGTGCCGCACCGAAGCAACTGGTATTCGCCAAGGTAGGTTTATCATGATGGAAACACATTTCACTCTGTTGCGGCGGTCGTGCGCGCACAACATCTAGCTTAACCATCTCATATCATAATCATCAAAAGCGCTCAGGTTGGAGTGCAGTTATATAGATTTGCAATGGTGTTTTTGCAATGGCCACTACGTTTTTTTTGTAGCCTAATAGTCCGAGTTACTTGGACTGTAGAGTTAACAGCGGTTGGGACTTATTTGGGCATGACGTCTCTGACAAGTCCGGTTAGGCACTTGCGATCTAGTGGGTGTGTACTCGGGGGGTGTTACTGCTGGCTGATATTAAGATGGGATGACAATGAAGACTGAGACACCAGATGGTATTCACTGAACAGTACACCTTCTGAATTTATTATAAACTCTTCCAGATGCACACAAGAGAATAGCTGATAACAACAGACAGTTGTTGATGGTGGTGCCTACAGTTCACCGTGTCACTTACTTGCTTGCTTATGCTGTTAATGAAGTAAACAATAAACAACAGTTATAATTCAAACCTGTAACTTCTTATGATTAAAATGGAGACATGGACCCAGTTAAGTTATAAAATGCCCTCTTGACTGTAATATTAGGAACCCCTATTAAACTGAGGAATATAACCCAGATCGATGGTTCTCTGATTGAATTATCATTTAACCCCTTATAATCCCCCCTGATACTTTAACATGATTAAACACGTGACAAATCCACCATATCGCCCCCAATACCTGAACCATATAGTGAAGAGTAAAGTAGCCCATCGGTAAAATAAACATGCAATTAAAGTCCCTAAAATACGAGTTTCATGGATCTGTTCTGTTCCCCAAAGTGACTACGATTTGCTATAACTATTACAATAAGTATCTTACCCAGTCAGTCAACGATGGCCCCGTTTAGGACATACAAATATTGAATGATTTTGAGGACGAATTGGGAATTCCTCAACATGGCAGCGGGGAAAGCTGGCGCGAAAGCAGCTGCATGCTGAACAGCGCCCTCTCGCTGGCGGCACGAGCGCCCTCTCGCATTGCTGAGCGTAAGTTCCAACACGGCCGCCCTCGAATTTACTAAGGAAATTCGAATTAATACTTACCAACAGGAACTGTTACTAACAGGAACTTTGGACGAATGCCTGAAAAGTTAAACTGGAAGAACAAATACAAAAAAACACACTAACTTTACCTTTTGCGGGCTCACCTAGGGTACCAGTCTGAAGGGAACCCTGCACTGTGTGAGCACTATGTTGGCTGCGTTGGGCAGGACTCCGGGTTCATGTTTACCCAATCTGACTAGTCGGGCTACTGGACGCTCATACTCACGACCACCTACCTTAACACGAACAGCCCTGACGCGGTCGTCACTGGATGGGAGTAGTTCAGAAACTTTACCAACTGGCCATTGGGACCTAGTGAGCTGGGGATCAACGATCATTACAACTTCTCCAACTGCAAGATTTCCTACTTCCTGTTGCCACTTTTGGCGTACTTGCATGGCAGGCAGGTAGGAACGAATGAATTGACGCCAAAACTGGTCGGCCAAAATCTGACTGTGACGCCAACTGCGTCGTCCCCTTAAATCAGACTCATCATACAGAACCATTGGTAAGGCAGGGTCCCGCCGCCCCATCAACAACATGTTGGGGGTGACTGGATCGGCATCAGCAATATCTGTGGAGGCATAACCTAATGGTTTGGAGTTCATCATACCTTCGACTTCGACTAAGAGGGTATGTAGTACAGGCTCAAAAACTGTACGGTCTTGCAGCACAGCCCGTAGAGCCCCCTTCACAGAACGAACTTCTCGCTCCCAAGTTCCACCAAAATGGGGAGCGTTAGGAGGGTTAAATCGAAAGCGAACCTTGTACTTGGAGAGTTTCTGCACCATAGCTGGTTCCATCTCCTCCTTCGTCTGTAGAGCGTAAGTAGGCAACTGCGCCATAGAGTTTCTCAGAGGCATCACAGAACACATGGAGACTCCTTTTTGCACTGCCAGTGTCAACCTGAAACGGAGTGTAGCAACGCGGAAGCCGAACCAAAGGAATATGTTGTAGTTCTGAACACCATTCTTGCCACCTGTTTTGGATATCTACACTAGTCACCTCTTCATCCCAATCGAGTTTGGACATCCATAACTCCTGAACAATCAACTTTGCCCTGGCCGTGAAAGGGGCAATGTCACCAAGGGGTTCAAACTGACTCGCTAGCAACCTGAGCGCAGTTCGCTTGGTGAGCGGTCCAAGCTGAGGAAGTTTGGCTGGGTGATATAACTCATCACTTCTGCAATCCCAGTGAAGTCCTAATGCTGGTTCCGGATCCCCATCCCACTGATCTAGGGAGAGGGACCGAACATGACGATCAGATCGGGCCTCTTGTGGCAAGTGCTCGACTGCTTCTGTATGGCTACTGGCGTACTTTACCATCTGGAAGCCAGCTTCCTGCAGGCACTGGCGTGTACTGTTGACCAGGTTCCTGGCTTGCTCGACAGTATCCCTACTCGCCAGCTGGTTGTCAACATAGGTTTCTTGTTCGATTGTGTCCCGAACAAGAGGGTACTGTTGGTTGAAATCCCTGGCATGCTTTTGCAGAGCAAACGTTGCACAACACGGGCTGCAGGCAGCACCAAATGGCAAGACCACCCATTCAACAACTACCCATTTTTCTGAGGCTTCATCCCACCACAAGAACCTGAATGCCCGTCGTTCAGAAGGGGACAACCTGATCTGATGAAACATGGCAGTTATATCCCCAGAGACTGCCACTCTTCGTTGTCTGAAACGCAGGAGTACTTCCAACAATGATGGACCCAGTGTTGGACCTGCCAACAACACCTCATTCAAATTCTGGCCAGCAAAAGTGAAAGAGCAGTTGAAAACCAACCGATGTTTGCCGCTGCTGTAGACGACATGATATGGTATGTACCACCCCTGCAGTGCATCAGGCGTCAAGTCCTCCACTGGGCCGAGGCATTGAACATGTCCTTGGTCTCTCAACTTCTGCATATATGTCCGACAATATTCGGCCATGGCTGGGTTGGCTATCATCTTCCTCCGGTGGGAGCGTGCCAATGCACGAACAGATTCTGGGGTACCGGATGGAAGTTCTCTCCCTGACTTCTTCAGCAATGGCGTTTGAAGGCGTTGAACCCCATCTACCTTCACACGTTCTGTGTTTTCCTCAAGAATTTTGATTGCAAGTTTGTCCTCCTTGGAGCGGGTTACCTCCTTTGTGTTGACATGTGGCAACTTATCGATGGTCATGAACCGATCCATCATACGGTGGAGCTGGTGCTCTGGGTCTTGACACGCAGTGAACAAAATTTGCTTGCTCTCAGGAATGGTTCCGGAATACTGCAAACCCTGTCTGCCCTGAACCGTCCAGCCGAAGAGTGTGTTCACTGCTACTGGGGACCTCATCTTGGGCCCAGTGCGTACTTCAGTGGAGAGGGTCAACTCAATGTTGTCAGCCCCGATTAACACTGCTGGTTTTACTCGATCCGCAGAGAACAGAGGCAGATCCTCAGATGTGGCCACTTGGATTGCAACCTGTCAGCTGAAACACTGTAGTCAGTCAACTGAATGTTGTCGGCGGTGAACGCACATGTGATCAGGAACTGCTGGCCGGGATCTCCTCGGGCTGACACTGCAAAGTCAACACATTTGCCTGCCCAGTTGGTGTCTCCCATGACAGTCTCAACTCTTAGAGTTTCTTCCTTCCCTGGAATGTTCAACATTTTTGCAGCCCAAGGGACAATCATGGTTCTCTCTGCACACTCATCAAGTACCCCAAAGGTGTTTAACTCCCCCTCCGGTCCATACAGAGTGAGTGGAACTGTCTTTATTAAGACATCCCGTTCATAGTCAAGACTCAGGGTTTTAGTACCAACCCCTGTGCAGAGCGCAGCACCCTTTGGTTTTGCAGCTGACTTCGTAGCCACATCATGTAGGCTGCTTCGGTGATCACCCTCACACTCCTTGCACCTTTTAGGGAATTGGCAATCTTTTCCATGTTTCTTGCCACACTTGAAGCATCTGTCATTTTCTTTCAGCCACTTCATCTTTTGCTCCAGATTCAACTTGAGGAATCTGTCACACGTCTCCAGATAATGGCCTGATTCACTGACCTGGCAGAACAGACATGTTGCCCTCTTGGCCGCCCAGTCTGCTGACCCATTGCTACCAATCTTAGCTCTATCTGGCTGGGGTGAGTTTGTCTTGGCTACGTATGTCCCCGCAGACGGCGGAGCACCAAATGCAGGTTTTCTTGGTGGTTGTCGGTGACTGTTGCCATATTGTTGCTTTTGGACTGAACCCTTACTTGACTTGACCTTCTGTGACTTCTCCAAAAGAATAAGCCCAACGGGACCACTCTTCCTTTCCAGCCATTCACTGAGATGCTCTACGGTGTACGTCAATCCACGATCTCGATGCCACATCTTCGACAAAAAATCTGTATGCAGCCGTGCTGGGAGTTTACTTGCTAACTCTACAGCATACTTATGGTGCCTGAGCTCCACCTCAAAGCCCAATTTCTTGGACGTCTGAATCATCGTGGCAACCTCATCGGAAAAATCTCGCAAGCCTGCCCAATCACTGTTTGAAAGTTGGGAATACGTTTCCAGCTGGCTCAGCAAACCTTGAACAACCCTTCCTGGTTCTCCAAACACCTTCTGGAATTGCTTCATCGTTGTCGAATAAGCGTCGTCCCCGAGGACAAGATTTCTATCTGCAATCGCCAAGGGACGCCCACCCAGATGACCACGCAAATAAGCGAATTTGGTAGCCTCTGGTAAACCACACTCTGATCTGTTCATGATACTGTCCCAAAGAGACCTGAAGGTGACATATTGTTTCACATTGTGCTCGTCGTTGAACTTGGGAATGTCGAGCTTCGGTAGACTGTCCCTCAGCATACCATACCCATAGGTAAGTGGTGCAGGAACACTTGGAACCGGAGCTGGACTTGATCTGGCTTGGGAAGTGGAGACCATGCTGGACTCGTGG